TTAATTTTGAGCACCTATCGATCTATAATGTTAACTTTGATTGTATTCATGGTCATGCTTTTTGTTTCATTGGATTCCTAGGTAGCTTTGGCTTTTAATTTTTCTAGATATTCCCATGCATATGCTTTTAATTCACAACAAGCTGTGTTTTAGATTTAAACAATTTTTGTGTATTTTATATCTTTTACATGTAGTTTTCACGGTGATTTGGAGCCTAAATAACACCTATGCTTCAAACATCAGTAGAAGCTTGCGTCCGAATTCCATAATTTATCAACCAGCCTCAATCTGTGTGCCTCGGTGTGCTATACCCTAATTTCCGGTGGATCCCCTTAGCAGGGCTTCCCTTCAGTACACTCATCAACCCCCCTTTCCTGAAAGCTAGATCCATCCCTGCAAGTACCACACTGTTACAGAAATTGCACCTGTTGCTGGTCAGTTATTGCCAGGCACATGTACAGTAAATTTTGTTTACTTTAAATTCTTACAGTGACAGTGTGGGGGTTTGGGCCAAAACAAAATGTGTAGTCAGTGTGACATACCAGTAGTAAGGTGGGAATCAGACCATTTTACAATTCTGGACTTTTTTCCCTAAAAAAGTCCACTAGAGCCATGTATCAGAAAAAGAAAATGCAGTACTTTGTACTTAAATGTTGGAGTCAATTTACAATTAACAACTGAAGAATGCATGTTTTCTTAATTTTTAGGACGTAACTAAAAGGATGATGGCTGGGAATCAAGCCCCGGAGCTGGGAGCATGTCATATAATCTCAAGATGTGCATGCTGTCTACTAGAACACAGACCCTATGAAATTTAGTGGTAATTTGATAATAACCCTTATAGTCTCACTTATTTACATGTATACGCATCAAATAGGGCGCTGTCTGCTTTTAGTCAGCTTATACAATGCATGCCGGCAGCAGCTAAATGTATACCATGCCACTGTTTACAGGAGTTCCGAACATGGGTAGGTTTACGTTGCTTTGTATGAAAAGTGATCTGGAGCTGTTGCACTCACTGTAACAGTGTCACTAGAGAACCTGCCCGTCTACTGCAAAAACTATCTAGATTATTTCCCTATGCCCTCCTCAAAATCACATGGAAGAAACCAAGTCTCAGGCAGTAAAGGTTTTTGGAAGCGGTAAGACATTACAACTAAACAAGGTGTCCTAAAAAAGATAAAGGTTGGCAAGGGCATCATTTGCTTCTCAAAAGGGGGAGGGGATAACCTTGATGGGAACATCCATGTACAGTGTGTGAGTGTGAAAGCCCTAACAGTGTAGGGCTAAGGGAAGTTAAGGTTTGGGTTCTCTGTTGTACAGTGTAGTTAGACAATTTGTTCTCATTTTAACTAGTTTTAGCAAATGCTTTTGGAAGATTTGTCACTTTCAAAAATTTAAATCGAAGTTTGGAACTTATTGCATTCCATTGATAGGTACCTATTACCAATGACCAAACAATGCAAAGGGGATATTTAAAACATGGAGGCAGTGGAAGCCTTCGTGTAGTCAAGAAAAAACTGTTTTGTTCCTATTTACTGGTTTACATGTTAAATGCAAAAATGTGGATGTTTTAAACATTTGAAGCAGCTATTTGAGCTACAGAATCAAATGTACCATAGGCCTACAAATAAAAACTGGGGGAGGGACCAATTATATTTCACCCATTTAAAAAGTGGAGGGGGCATGTCACCCACATCTTGACGGTCATGAGGGTTGCCTCATTTTGGTATCCCACCACAAAAGGTCGGGACAGGAGCAAACTAATCTGGCAAATACAATTTTTACCATTATTTGTTTGTGTGTAAACACGTGTATATTGGGAGCTTTGACAAGACTTTAGTCAGTGTAGTAAACATATATGTAAAGATCCTAGGTTTTTCCATTGTGCATGTGAACCTTACACTCCAGAGTGTATATTCAGCTTGTCTGCAATCGGGACCCATTTCCTTTAGTATTTATCATGTTGTACCTAACTTGTTTCCTGTGTACGTCCAAAACTCACCCTCTTTTGACATTAAATTAGACCTTCCAATATTTCAGCTGAATTAACGTGGTAACATATGCTAGGTTTTTTTGTCTGAGGGTCATTTTAGAACGTCATTTTTCAAGCTGTTTTGGTGAATTCAATTTGATGGGATATTTCGTCTCTTCATGGGTGAAACCCTGAAAGTAATGGACTGCCCTATGTCGTACACTTGGGTCAAATGCTATTGATTTCTTACATTTTCCAACTTTAACAATGCTCTCTGTGAATTTGATTTGGAGGCATATTTAGCGTTGATGCAAACTAAAGGGGGTCCTTCAGTTGTTTGTTGGTCTCCCTTACCGCCAACTGTTTATTAAAGTTGGTAATTGTGGTATACTGTATGGTAAATGCTGCAGTTTCATTGGTGGACAATAAACACATGCCAAGCCCATAAAACCAAGGTGTTGCCATTTTACTGTACCACCCTGCATGTACCGCGAAGCTATGTCACAAAGGTTTAGCGAAATGGTGCGTTGCGTTTGTTGAATGAGTAAGCACCCAACAGAGCATTTCTGCAACCCCTCAATCTGATGTGAACTGGTTGCTCCTCCCCCCAAAAATCTTGATCATAATCAAACATCATATACCAACAATGAAATCTAATTTCAATATTTTCCCTAATGATTTAGGTCTTACTTTGCTTATTTGCACTCTTTGACAAGAGATAGATGGAGTTACATTTTTACATTTTGAGAGATTGTGTGCGTATTCTTGTCCTCGAAGCATTAGGCCTAAGTTTCCTGACATTAGACCATTTATCATGGAAATATACATTAAAACAGGCCTTTAGGCATACCAATCATGCAATAAGAAACTTGCAATTCATATCGGAGCATACATAAGTAATTGAAGGTAGACATGTAAATGCTTCCTTCATATGCTGATGGTGGGGACTAGTATAAAGCAAGCAGGAAACAGATGTAATCTGACCAATCTCTGCTTGTCTCTGCTTTGTGATACTCGATGCCTGCAGCTACTCTGGCAAAGGTGCACCAAAACAAAGTTCAATCAGTCTCTGCTGAGTGCTTGTTAAACCTCCTTGCATCATATTCAGACCAGGCTACGTCTGGCCTGATAAAATGTGCACGCTCTTTTGTTTGGGATGAAACCCAACCCTGACCGTTGAGCCGGGCTAGAATCTTAATCCAAGCCCGAGGTGGTCTTAGCAATAATATCACCAATATTTTGATAAAACCATTTCCATATTTATCATCTAGAATTTCAGACAAATGGAGGTGTGCAGGTTGAGGATTGAACAGCAATGAGTGACAGGGAGATGTGCTGAGTGTACAGTGAAGCTGAAATTGTCCAATCAATCTGTCGGACACTCTACCATTGCTTCTCCAACAACTCAACCTGTGAAAATTGATGCCTGGTCCACATGGCCAGTTCTGTGAGTCATACTGTCTCCATTGTCTTGGGCCTTATGGGAAGTCTGTGCATTGTTAACAGGTCTTGGTGGCTGACTTGAGTGTAATTGTGGCTAGAAGATCTGCAGGACACTGTTAGATAGAGCTGATGAATCTACCCAGGAAGGACTAGCAAGCTGCTTATGAAACAGAATAGGTCTGCCAATTGCCACTAAAGATATCTGTAAGTATGGTCATAGTTTGAAAGAAAAAATTGACCAGTATTTGAAATAAATATGTATATGAGCAAGTCAATAATTTATCAGAGTTAAGAATGTAGTCTTTCATTAAAAGCACAACTGAGTCTGGTCAGATGCTGAGGAGTACACTATAAGTGGTTGCTATGGGCTGTATGTGCAGTCACAGCGTGTCTTTGTTACCAGCTTCTAGTATTCAGATGTATCATGATGATGCATGTGTAGGCACATTGCCTCAGGCCAAATCTGGCCAGGCGTATGTTGAATAGTATGTGTGCAACCATCACATAATAGAATCATGAATGGGGATTAAACTTGATGTATCTGCACTTCAGGAATTAATCCATGGATGGTTGGCGGTGGTAGCCGTTCAGCCATCCATTAACTAGACTGTCTGTCAGTTAAGGCCTGTCTGCATAATATGATATGGTAACAACACAAAATGAAAATTATGATGCTAAAGTGGACTGATGTGGATTGATGGATACTTTTACCAACTATTTTGATCTCCTTTCAAACATGGTCTTTCAATATTAAAGTTGAAAGTAGAAATCTTCATGTGGTATTCTTTTTGGACCATTTATTCCTGCTGATGTACATGTACTTCGAATAAAAGTGTTACTGGTAGCTTCTCATGTTACAATGTTATTCCAACAAAATAAAAACTACTCATTCGGTTTATAAAATGCTTGTGGTGCAGATAGGATTAAGACTGTATTTTCAGTATGAAGAGATTTCTCAGTATGTGTTGAGATTTATTGTGTCCTCAAAACTTTACTTCAACATGTACATCTGGTTGATTCTGATATTTCACGTGTGACTTGGAATGGTGCAAAAATCCATGCTGTCAAGAAAAATGAATATTATAGAAAGTTTGTCATTTCTTATTCTCAGCATTTTTCTCTTGCTTTGTTGTTTTTGAATGTAATACTAGACCTGCAGGAAACACATGACACTTATTGATTTGTCTGAGTACCCAGCTGTGGCTGATACTTAGGACGTGAAGATTGTATGCCTATACATGTATTAAGTCTCTTAGCTCTGCCTCCATGAATGTTGTGTTTGCAGTAACCTGGCTCACCTCTTGGATTTTCTGTCACAAAATTTCTGACATTAAACTTGAATCATTTGCCCATTACAATCAGGTATGTAATGCAAAACATAAAACTACTTTTATTGATATACAAAATAATTACCGGTAATTTAAATAAATATAATAACCCCAGTTAATTTGCTATGATTGAAAAGAATCAGTTAACAAGAACATTACATATTTGAAGTACATGTACCCTAAAGCAAACAGTCAGGCCTATAAGACCAATGCACCGGTAGACAAACATTAAACATAAGTTTTTTGGTTTTGCAGGGCATGACTGTGAACACAGTCATTGTTTCAAGTTCACTCTATCAATGTGTTTCACTTTCCCTAGCACCTTGTTCATTTCAAATAAAATACAACAGTGAAAGAAACTTATAAAACAATAATAACATCTACTACAATGCTTTTAGATTCAAAATGTTTGCCACTTATTTGATTGAATGTATTTTTTGTTCCCGGTGAAATTGCTGCTTGCACACTGCAGTGGTCACCTCCCCTGACCATTTCTGGATCCTTGGTATGATCTTTTCAGAATTAACTGTCCTTCTGGAGGCAGTTGAGCATATGGCTGACCATTCAGCCTGTCTTGCAGTGTTAACTCAACACCACTGTGTTCATTCAAGCAGTCAATGACTCATTGTTGCAGTTACCAGTTCCCCATGTGTATCATCTGGCTGGGCAATGGACAGTTCAGGCTGGCTTTGTTTCCAGGTACATATTGTCACCAGCTTCTGTGGATTGGTAAACTATTTGCTTTGTTGTCAGTTTCATCCTGGTTTGATTGAGTGTCTATGGGGGGTATGTGCAGCTTGAAGCCTGGACAGTGAGTAGTCTTTGTCATGATACTGTTTGTTGAGCTTGAGTGATTGTGTGATGGACGGGTGTCAGTTTCATTTGTGCCAGTGGAAGCACGTACACTGAGTTGAAGGAAGTGGAAGTTGTGAAGCCTACGTGTATATCAATTAATTGTGCATGGTGACTGTCCTGATGGGTACCAGAGTCATGCTGTTGCATCAGGATTCTTACAGTTGCATCCTGTGCTGTATCCTCAGCAGTGGAAAATCATAGTCCAGCCAGCAAATCACTCATCAGTCATCACAACAACAGATGATTACTATATTGATTGCCTTATGATCTAAGGTATGTACAATCAGGGCTGTCTTCCTTTGTTGCATCTGATTTGGCCCTGCTTGTTCTAAAATCTAATAAATTTAGTTAAAGATTCAGTCTTGTAGGTTTACATGCATATGCTCAGAATTTGCTGGTATTTTTTTATTTCTGGGAAAAGATTATTCAAATAAATATGTGTTTGCAAGGTGGAGGTCACAAAAAGAAACGTCTACTTAAATGCATTTCAACTCTGTTGGTATCTTCTCTACAATTTTTACAAGTCAATTCATTCCATTATTTGCAGTATGTCCTGAATCCTGGCTTGATACGTGTATTAGGATAAATGAAAGCCAGTTCATAGAGTGCTTGGTGTGAAAAAGAACACAAATGCAAATTTATTTGTGATGTCAAGATCAAATATTCGGACTGTGGGTTTGCAAAATCAAACACATTTCAACCTGAACGAAATTTTGCTGCAAATCTTTTGTGATGTCAATTTTCTTCGCTTTCTCATTCACCTGTAGTATGAACCAGCCTTTAACTTGCCAGGAATTAGGATATCATGTTACATGTTCATTATAAATTGATGCACAAGACCCTTGCATGATGTTCTTGTTAGGCCTATTGTTTTATGATTGAGAAATACTCTGTTGAATCTTACTAATTGACAGTCTTTCATCATGAACCGCAATACAACGTTGCCCTTATCTCAGCAAAATGAAGTTTTCCTTGCGATTATGCACATTTCGTGGTCATGATGAAAAAGGTACATGTACACGCATATAGTTTTTGGGCGAGTATGGTCAGTGATGGTCAGTTGTTTTATATTTTAGTTCCATTTGTTGAAGGCTCTTTTCTGCATGATTAGTTTTATTTGGTCTTTTAAAATGTCCTCTTGGCTGCATTTCAACTTAAAACATTTACTTTCAACAGGTTTGTGATATTTTGTAATTTCATGCCTGGGTGTAATTGTGGTTGAGCCATAGGCTGTGGGTTAATGAAAATGGGTGTTGATAATGGCTGATGCCTGGGGCTGTGCTGGGCTTGGGCCTGCTCTGTGTTTGTATTGACACCGAATGATTCATGGTTTAGTGTGGGACAGCTGAGCTGGCTGTTCATTAATTCCTTCTATGCGGCTTCTTTTGAACCTTAATCCCCATTGTGGATACTGTGGAACCAGCCAAGTACTTATTAATTAGTTTTCTTTATACAAGGTGTACTTGTGTGGATTTACTGGTTTTTCCCTTGAGGACCAGCTTGAGTAAAAGTGGAATGATCACAGCATGTGGTTATAATATAGCATAAGATTGAGCTTGTCCTGAAAGGTAGGTATACTTTTTGATAATGGGCCTGAAGATAGTCACTGATTTGGAGGGGGAATGACGCGTGCAGTACCACAAGCCATTTGTGTTTTCATTGGTGGCAATGTTGCATAAAAGAGCACTTTTTGTGGTTGGAATGGAAAGCTGAAGGATGGACAGGCTTGGAAAAGGGAACATTTGAAACTTTTGTTTCACAGTTATTGTTGGCTGTGGCATATAATACTTGCACATGGTTTACACTTCAAATATAAAATTCAGACTGCATCAGTTTAAGTCAGGCCTCAGAAAAGTCATGTGACCTCTTAAGGATGTATCCTATTTCAAGCTACAGAGCTCTTTGGTCTCATGTGTGCCAGTGGAGGATACATTATGCCCATACATACATACATGGCCTGAATACTTTGTCCTTACCTTCGACAGAATATGCATAAAACTGCTGTGTCTGCACAAAAGAGAAATATACCACCTGTGTGCAGACATTCATTTAATTATAATTTATATGTTAGAATATGCACTGCAGTTCTTTATCTTGTTTTGCTGAGGGCATACTTTAATATGCGTAGAATTTACACATTTACTTTTAAACCACACAAAACTGTGCTTGGTTTTTACAGGGCTATAAGTACTGCATTTTTTCTGTTACTTGATTCATAGATTAATTTTTTGTTGGATTAATTGCAAACCACATTGTGAAACTAAAGGCATTCTGCCACAGAGGTTGTAATCAGCCACTTCAGTATTACACACAAAAAAAGGCCACTAGGGAACAACGTACATGTGCACAAGTCCTCCTAGACCTCACACTAAGGTCTGAATGACCTTGGATGCACTTCATTTTGGGCATGCGCAGTTAAAATTCCAAACTTGCTCATTGAAAGAAATCCCCAAATGTCTTGAACCAACATTTTAAACATTGCACATAGAACTGATACAATGATAAACTAACACAGTGAAAAATTAAATGAAAACCTAAAGGTTATTTATGTGTTTTAAATACATCCGAACCTCATCAATAAGAGCACTTAACACAACATTCTGCTTATGACAAGGACATTTTTAGTCATTCCTGAAAATACAAGATACTTTTCTAAACTGCTGCTTTTTGTCAACCAGCATCCACCATCAAAATGTCAGTGATATGACAGGTTTGTTTTTAAATTCTTCATTGGTTATTATCAACCGACAAAAAGGTGGTGCTTTGTGATTTTTCAAATGTAAAACACCTAATGTTTGTAACCATGCACAATAAAAAATTGAAGAAAAAGAAAACTTCAGCTCTATTTACCCTGCAGTATTTGATAGGGATTATGTCATTGCAGTGATTTTCCAAAACAGCACATACATGTACATATATGTATGTGTATTTGCACCATGTTTGCATGAACTCCAGCTAAGTCATTACATACATACAGTGTATTTACATACACTGTATGTTGGGGCATGAAGTTTACATACA